CCCAATGCATATGAATTTAATTTCGCAGTTGACAATATCATGCTTTAAGTTTATTATAAATCTGTAGTTTGTTATGCCCACTGCCTTCTTGAAATGACATTTTGATTTTTATAAACATGAGAATCATTAAGTTTTGTGCTACTACAAATGTTTTTGAATGCAGCTGGATTTTTTTTTTCAATGAGTAAGATATGGACTTTATTAACAAGATCTAATATTTTGATTTCATAATCAACTCCAAGATCCCTGGGTGATAAGCACTAATTGCTTTTCCTTGCTGAACTGTATAGCCTTTGTATTTCCCATGTTATAAAGATACAAAAAACTAGATGATATTATATCATGTTTCCATGCTTTGTTAGATTGGTATCGCAATTCCCAGTTCAGTGCATTGAAGGTTGTCTAATCCTTACAGGGCCCTGTTGACATGCTTGATTGTCGTGCTTCTGTACATCATAATAGCTGCTTGTTGTGGAGGCATCACACTACCTTCATGCAGATCTTGACTAATTCGCTTCTTGTTCAAATTTCTGCTGAGGTATGGAACAATTACTTTGAGATTATTCAAGTCAATATATATGGAAAGGGATTCCAGTGCTTGATGGTTCAAATTTTTTGTGTGTATATGGAAGTGAAATATATTATACTTTGCATTGTACCAGTAATAATCCTGTAGATTCGTTCTTTTGTTGCACTTATAGTGAATTGCTGAGATTTTTTCGGGGAAGTCTGTCAAGTTGTTCTTACAGTGCTTCATATCATCTTTGTATTTTTTTGAAACACTATGGTTAGTAAATTGTCATTGATTGTGAAAACTTAACTACTACTAGTTATGGTCTTTGACGAGTTCTAGCTGTAGATGGTAGCAAAATGCATATACCAGCACGAAGTTCCAATATCTGTCGATAAGCTTCCTCAATACGCATTATAATCCCTATCCATGCAGCATCTGATTCGTTAGTAGCGTAGGAGGTTGTTTGCATTGAGATACCTAAATATTTGTTTGGTCATTGGTTTGGCACAAATTTTATTTACAAGGGATTAAATGACTGGTGGCTGTACCATACAAACTTCAACCTACCTAGCTGAGGACTGTTTGCTGTTTTCGGTTTTTATTTTTTGTTAATGCTTGCGCAATGCAGCACTTTGTTTATAAGCAGGCTGAGGACTGGTGCCACGTATTCCTTTCTCCTTTGGTCGAATGTGGTGAGTGATTTTCTAGTTAGCTTGATCACATTGGTACACTAAGTTTCATAATACAAATAAAAGAATGGTGAAAAATGTATTTCTTTCTCTACTTTATGAAATGTGGTGTACCGGTTTGTATTTTAGGTACATGAAAAAATGTCGCATTGGCGGCAGAGGCTATAGGCCTTTGTGATGGTCCTTACGAATTTATATGGTTTTTATCACAAATAGTCCGTGACATTGTCTAACTCATCATTTTGTTCCCTCAGTCTTAAAATAAAAAAATTTGGTCCCTAACATTCAATGTCGTACGTCAATGTGGTCCTTCCATTAATAATCTTTTAATTTTTCGCACTGTTCTAAAAATTCCTGTCTAGTGCCGCCTAGGCCCCATCTAGGTGCTAGGCGATTGATCACCGTCCTGATTAATGCACAGGCGTTAGAAAATTAAGAAAATGTGCTTAGAATTACTAAGGCGTCCGTCTATGTTGCGATTTATTCAGATAGAAAATAGATAAATTTCATTTTGCATTTTATGTTATTTTATTTTTAATAAATTGTAAAATATTTGTTGAATACTTAAATGAATACACATTATATGCTTATTCCATATGTTTTCATTATATTCCAAAACTCCATAATGTATATGTCATTCTATTTTGTAGTTTATGATGAAATCATATATATTTTAAGTATAAACAGACACTTATTTACATAAAATATAATAGATTTATTTAAATCCGTCTAGTTTGCCTAAGCACCCGTCTAACCGTCTAGGCGTTAAGTCCCAATCCACCACCCGACTAACGTCTAGCGTCTTCTAGACCATTTTCTTTTTTTTTTCTTTCCGTAAAAACCGCATGTTGTGTCCCTAGTGACCTTTTAACGGAAAATAAGTTTTGTCAAATCACCCCACCACTACTTAGTTCACTATCTTCACCTTTTCTCTCCACTTTTTCCCCTTGTTGAATTTGGCAACAACATTTGTGATTGTTTCCCTTCTAAAAGCTAAAGCAAGGCCATTTCCCACTTACAAAAAAAAAAAAAAATTGTAACAATGGTTCCTAAAAAAAACTTAATTAGTGCAATACTCCCTCAATTAAAAATTCATGATCATTACCCTTAATTCATCAAAACGTGCAGCTACAGTCATTTTCAACAACTTCATCATAATTCCATCAAAATGAGTCATCTTCGAATGACCATTGCTAGAACTGGGTTAATGTTGAGGGATCATCGCTCCAATTAGATTAAAGTTGAGAGACAATTTCTGTAATTGAGTTAAAGTTGAGGAACCATTGCTACAATTTGTCTCATCTGGTTTTCCATATTTACCCCTTGATTCAGCCTCATGTGCCTTGCATATGACCATTTTGATGGAAGTTGTAGCTAGCTTGATGAAAACGACCATAGTTGCTCATTTTGATGAGTTAAGGGACCAATAAGCATAGATTTTTAGTCAAGTAATCATTACTCCATTTGAATTAAAATTAAGGAACTACTGCTACAATTTCATCTACAAAAAATACCCAATCAAGTTAGTAAATGATTTTTTGCATAATGCTAATTTTACTGGAAAAATAACCTGAATAATAAAATAAGTTTGGTTAATTATAGTCCCATCCACACACCAAATCATAAAAAAAATAGATCCGATTATATAACTTTGACCACTACCGAATTGACAAAATAACACATGTTCAAATAGATTAAAAAAAAAGAAAAAAAAAAGGAAAACTAATGAAAATGGCTTGAAAACTTTGAATTTTAACTATAAGGACAAAATAAAGGGTAGTGAATAATATCAGAATTGTTTTTTAGTATGAAAATATAGTTTTTCGTTAAAGTAAAAAGTACCAGAAACTTTTCATTAAAATATCCTAAAAAAATACATGTATTAACTTGCATATCTCATTGTAATAGCATTACCATAACAAAAGAAATATCCCATCATTCACAACTGCATGCCCATGCAATTCCAAAAGCATTAAATAAGAACGCCACTTAATACTACATTTTAGTAGTATTTCTCTTCACTTATAAGTAAGAGGTTTTTAATTCGATTCTCGTAAAAAGCGAACCTTAAACCATATTATTACTAGTCCGTTGTGAGGTCAAGTCCACCCCCTCTCTATTAATCATAATACCACTTGTGAAAAATATTATTAAAAAAAAAAAAAAAACAAAAACAACAACATCACATGTGTTTCGAAGGCAAAAACAAAAAAACGTAAATATTTGGCCACTTTTCAAAGATGTGCAAAACACAACCAAGCTGCCAAATTGCCAAATTTTCACCAAATCCTTCAAGGCTGCCACGGCATTCCTCTCTTTACAAGTGACGTGAACATTTTAGGTATAGATTGTGACTGAAATTGGTGCTTGGGTTCAGGCTATCAAAAGTACAGGCAAATCATGGAAAGACGATAAAACTCACTATATTTGGGAGGCTTTTCAGATTTGCATAATTTCTCTTGCATGCTCACAATTCACCAAAATTTACTCATGCTCCACCAAAGCTTAACGACTCTTCACGAGTTTCATAGTTTGAATCCTAATCTAAGCATAATTGAATCTCCCTCGCCAAAATCCCCAATTGCCAAGTAGTGGGTGGGGATTTGACGGAAAAGCCCTCCTCCAAAAGGCCACATGGGTCGTCATGTGCGTTTTTAACGAATAGTTTGACAGATTATTGGAAGTATGTAGATGTGCAGCATTAAATGTCTGGGAATAAATTTGTTAATTTTGAAATTGAGAGACCAAAATGATAAGTTAGGCCAATGTCAATGACCAATTGTGATGATAAAAATATATATAAAAAAAAAATCCCAATTTACAATGGTGACATATTTCTGGATCCTCCAATAAGAAGTGCCTTACTCAATGTCGAGTTGGGCAAAAATGCTAGTTATAATAATTTGAAATCGAAGTCATTATTTACGAAAATCAAACATAAGTTATCTCACATAAAGGAGCTAAAGATGCACTACTTGATTATACCTTCTAATACCTACATGTATATACAATGTACCTGATTAGTTTATTCTTCCTACCTGTTTTACAATAGGAAATGATTTTTCACACACTCCTTTTAACTTGTCATACACATTTTAATTTTTAATTAAGGGATTGAACGAATCAAACGAAATTACAAACATAATTAAGCAAATGTGTGTAAAAGATTAAAAAATGGCGTGTGTTTATCATTTCTCCTTACAATACCAAACTCAATGCTAACAATTTCATTCGTGTTAGAGTTTTAGAATAATGCAATATAAAGAAATTATTTCATCATCAAAATAAAAAGAGGAAATTGTAGAAATAGTTGGTGAACTTTAACCTAATTGAAGTAATAGTCTCTCAATTAAAAAAAAAATTCATGACCATTGATTCCTTAACTCATCAAAACATGCAGTTATGATTCTTATCGTCAGCTCCATTTAAACTTTCTCCAAAATGAGTTACGTGTCACGCACGTGAGGCTGAATGAAGGAACAAATATGAAAAACCAAATAAGAAAAATTGCAACAATGGTCCCTCAACCTTAACCAATTGTAGCAATAGCTCTTCCGACATAACTCATTTTGACCGAATTCTAATAGAGTTGATGAAAATGATTATAGCTGCAAGTTTTGATGAGCTAAAAAACCAATAATAATAAATCTTTAACTGATGAACTATTGCTCTAATTTGATTGAAATTAAGAGACGTTGCTACAATTTTTCTTTCCAAACAAGAAGTTGGGTATTCCACCAAAAATCAAAATAAAAATAAAAAGGGTATCGTTTTGATGGTAAAACATTAGATTCCTTCTGTCTCTTTCTCTCTTACTCTGCTTCTATTAATAACACTACTTTCCACTTTCCTTTGACCTTCATTCCTTGCTCTAATGGCCACCCTCCTCCGGCCATTTCCACCGCCACCTTCCGCCGCCAAAACTTCCCAATTCTTCCACTCCTCCAGACCTCCTCTTTATTTCTCCAAAACCCATTACTCATCTCGAAATAAATCTCTCTCCAAAATCCACAGCAGCAAGTTCGGCAACTTTCTCGACTTAAAACCAGAGGCAAAACCCGAGTCTTTGCACTTCGATCTCCATCAATTCGACCCGTCAACCCGGTCTCGCTTAGATGTGATCATCATCGGGACCGGCCCGGCCGGGCTTCGCCTTGCGGAGCAACTTTCTCGCTACGGCATTAAGGTATGCTGCGTTGATCCTTCTCCTCTCTCTATGTGGCCAAATAACTATGGAGTTTGGGTTGATGAATTTGAAAGCTTGAATCTTGAAAGTTGCTTGGACAAAATATGGCCTATGGCTTCTGTTCATGTGAATGATAGTAAGACTAAGTTTTTGGACCGCCCTTATGGCAGAGTCAGTAGGAAGAAACTCAAGACTTTGTTGCTGGAGAGGTGTCTCTCCAATGGGGTTCAATTTCATAGGGCCAAGGTTTGGAAAATCGAACACGAAGAGTTCGAGTCTTCGATTCTGTGTGATGATGGGAATGAGCTCAAGGCAAGTTTGATTGTTGATGCTAGTGGGTTTGCAAGCAGTTTCATAGAGTATGAGAAGCCTAGGAACCATGGATATCAGATTGCCCATGGTATTTTGGCTGAAGTGGAAGAACACCCCTTTGATTTGGATAAGATGCTTCTAATGGATTGGAGAGATTCCCATCTCGGAAATGAGCCTTATTTGCGCACTAGTAATTCTAGATTTCCAACTTTTTTGTATGCAATGCCGTTTGATTCGAACTTGGTGTTTTTGGAAGAAACTTCGCTTGTTAGTAGGCCGGTGTTGTCTTATATGGAGATTAAGAAACGAATGGTTGCGAGGCTAAGGCATTTGGGGATTAGAGTGAAGAGGGTAATTGAAGAGGAGAAGTGTTTGATCCCAATGGGGGGTCCGCTTCCTCGGATCCCCCAACGTGTGATGGCAATTGGAGGGACTTCTGGGGTGGTTCACCCTTCGACTGGGTACATGGTGGCTCGGACCATGGCTTTAGCCCCAGTATTGGCTGAAGCCATTGCAGAGTGCCTTGGCTCAACCAGAATGATCCGAGGGCAGCCGCTTTATCATAAAGCGTGGAATGGCTTGTGGCCAATTGAGAGGAGATGCACGAGGGACTTTTACTCATTTGGTATGGAGACTCTGTTGAAGCTTGATCTGAATGGGAGTAGAAGCTTCTTTGACGCTTTCTTTGACTTGGATCCTTATTACTGGCAAGGCTTTTTATCGTCAAGGTTGTCTCTAAGAGAGCTCGCTTTGTTGAGCTTATCTCTGTTTGGCCGAGCCTCCGCCCCATCTAGGTTTGATATTGTTACAAAGTGTCCTGTGCCCTTGGTTAAACTGATGGGCAATCTCGCACTTGAAGCTGCATAATAATGCAACACATGGAATAATTATTTGTGAGAAACAAGAGTTTGGCTTTTGTTCCATAGCTTATACAGAATAATGATGTTATTATAACTCTAGTTTCAAGTGATCCTCTTGTCAAATGATGGGCTCGAACACAGAGCATGTGTAAAATGCTATTTCATGGTATACTTAATTCCCGAATTTCTTAATCTGTAGTTGGTTTCACCCCTCCCCTCATAATTCTTGGCTCCGCCACTGGTTATGCTAGTATTTCTTTTTTAATTTCTTTTTCGTTTCAATATTTTCTTCTGGAAGGCCATTCTCTTTATATGTACGAAGGAAACATTGCAGCATTACATGAACAGACATTGGTAGTGGAAGGCTTCCATACACCGGAGAAGGCTTGAAGATGTGCATAAACTCGAGGGGGAGTGAATTACAGGGCAAATCATTTTCGACAATCGGCTAATACAAGAATTTGTTCCTGCAATACTTTTTTCTGAACATGCAAGAAGGGTTGTAAGGATGAGAATTTTGTTTTTTTTGTGGTGGTGGTTTGGGGGGGGGGGGGGGGGGGGGGGGGGGGGGGGGGTGTGGTTGGGTGTGGGGTGGGAATCTATCCTTGTTCGGTCAGTACAAGCGAAGCTTTTCCCGTTACCACTTTTTCAAGCCATTCTTTTGTAAGTTGTTGGAAACATGGGAAAGCCATGCGCGGTTGCGCCCCTTGTGTTTACAATTTCGTGTATATATATGCCTTTTTATAAGATCATATATCTCTCTCAAGAAAAATAAGAATATTTTATCATGAATAAATCTGTGTTTACGTCTCTGTTTGGACTCGATTTTACACTATCTGTCCAAGTAATCGAGGTCGTTGAATGAGCAGAATTTTAGACCGTTGAATGACAAAGTGGTTGAAATGATTTTCAATTATTATTGAGAAATAATATTGTGATTTTAATTATGATATTATCTCTTAATATATACTAGGATATCTAAACCTAATATTAGGTATATCCAGCTAGTTGTTTTGAAAAGAGATGATCTGGTCCGTCGTCAAAGGACTGCACGAAGACATTCAAATAGGCTCATCGTATCAAGCACCTGGCCCCAGGTGCATGCAATCTCCTACGTGGCTAATTATTATCAAAACCTAAGTCCTATCTCCGATATGGAAGTGGGTGGTGCAATTCAAATTGGCTTGCAATTCATGGACGTGTTGGAGTGAATGGGGTTGTAGCACATGGCTTTATCTTGAGATATGGTGATTATATTTCATCAATTAGAATTACTTTCCAGAGTCTAATTTGGTGAAGGAATCATCATGCATGCACGTGGTCTTTGTCAGGGGAAATATACATGATGGATTTGATTGGTGAAGTGATTTCATAGAGATAAACTTGTTTATTTATGGTGACGTGATAAGTTTCGGATAGGGCGATAGGCCTTAGCCTATGGCACGGATCAACTTTGCTAGTTTGAGTTGCAGATGAACTTTATAAAATTATCAGGGCGGGCCAAGGTAAATACAGAAACATCAGCAACGCGAAGAGCCTCTTCAAATCAACACACAAATTGTCATGTGCAAAGCTTCTCAACAACTTTGAGATTTTATACTCTCCCTTTTTCTTCCTGCCAACAAATCTTCAGTTTGGATAAAAAGAACTGTAAAGGTAACCAGCGACATCTTTAGTTTGGTTAAACAACACTCGAGCCGTATGTAGAATCAGCCGACTGAGAAGCACCTTTAGTTTGAATAAACAACACTTGCTTCGAGACCGATTGGTTATTATCCAAGTCTGAGTCGACAAGGATTTTCGTGTCCTTGTTGGTAGAGGTCATCTCATTAGCCTTCTTGGCGAAGTGAGGTGTTACCAGGTTATTAGACTCAGCACATTGAAAACTGAGTTTTATTTTATGATTGGATATTCACAGTTAGATTTTAGAGTTCGGCATTCCGACGGCCAAACCACTTTTACAATCAAGACATTTATCTCTTTCAAGTATTTGTGTTCGTACAATTTGGTGCCAGTTCGGTGTATTTATACTCTCACAAATATAATTACCAAGATTGAACCTAGCGCCGACGATTTGTGAACTTCGAAGAGATTATCAGCCTTGTCTTCAAGCTCTAGAACCCAAAGGCCGAGAGGTGTTCCTTCCTCAGCCACAGTCACAAGATCAAGAAGTCAGCAGCGTGCCCGACCCTACATCAACATATTTTACTGCTCGGCCGACGAGTTGGCACACCCCGCACACAACCGAATGACGTAGTTAATTTATTAGTTACTCGGCCTACGCGCCACATAGGCTTGGTAGTTTTTAGGGTCAACATTTTTGCACACCCGGTGGGACCCAGTGCTAAAACTACGAAGTTCACATGATATATCAAGATGTCAATTTGGTTCCATTTAGCCGATTAGATGCATTCCAAGTTCAACTTGATGGGGAACAAATCCTTAAAGAATGTGAAGAAAGGCAAAAAAAATTTTGTCAAATGATAAAGGTGAAAGTTCATCACAGCCTACAAGATCAATGGTTAAATGAAGATAGAGCTCGATTTTATGAGTGGCTCGATAAGAAAACACCTTTTGGTCTTATGTTCAAATCAATTCCTTTTGAAGAATGGTTGGTTCAAAAGGCCAAGGGGCAATTTTCTGCACCGGCCACAATCAAAATTTAGCCTAAGAAAATTGTCAAGACGACCGAAGAAAAACCTAGGCGACCTGTTTTTTTGATAGAGATTGAAAGTGTGGTAGGTCTAGAAGAAAAAGTTCAAGTTTTTAAGTCAAAAATCGACTTAGAAAATGATTCGTCAAAGGAGTGTTCCAATGACGAACAAGACCGATACGCAGACCATAAAACCATGTTAATTGATATGGTAATTGGGGACATGGTCTTAGACGCTGAAACTACGCCAATCGATGATTATTGGCGATAAAGCCGACATGAAGAAATCCCGTTCGGCTAAGTTGTTCGAGTTAAAAGCCGAAATTGACGAAATTATTATGCCTGGGGAGATTAATAATTGTTCAACACATTCGACGGCTGAGAATCAAAAAAAATTCGCCAAGTCAAAAATATTTGGAAATGATTCTTTATTCGGCCTAAAGCGAAATCAAATTGAGACCTTTGATATAAAAAGATCTCGGCTCGGAATAAAGCATCGTTGGCCTCCTCTTGATTATGGTTTGGCCACTTTTCTTTTCATTTGCTAAAATATATATATAATGAATAAATTATTTTCTTAAACATACGGCTATGCAAGCCAATGTAAAGAAAATGGGGGGCAGAGATTATAGGCTTGCTCTCAATAAGCTCCTCGGTGAAATTTAAGCAGTGGAGGCCTGATGCTCGGTGCAGTAGTGAAGGAAAAGAAGTCTTTCTCCTGTTGCTCAGTGAAGGACAGCAGCAAGGAGAAGGGAGAACACTCGGTAGGAGCTAGGCCATGGCATTTGGTAGGTTATGGTCAATTCTTGTGATGGTGGTCCCCCATATGCTAAGCTACGCCAAAAGAGGGAGAAAAGAAAAACATGAGGTATTAGGTGATAGGCCACCCATTTGTGGTAGGCCATCACGTGCCTAATCTTGGCAATCAGCGAGGGTTGCCATTCGGTGGATTTTATTTTATTGATTGGTTTCGGTTCAGGTCACATTTCATTCATTTTAGTGGAATTGTCAACATGAAGATTTGTTTCAGACTGGTAACTACATACTAACACTTGGTTTAAGGAATTTTGCATTACACCAAGTTAGAAGGACATTTTGTGATGTTCAGTTGGCTATAGAACATTCTTCCAAGTGTTTCTTTTGCTTCGGTCTCCAAGTCTCAAGAAAATTTATTTAGACAGCAGGAAGTCGTGACGGTTCCATAGATATCAGGGACATGATCTCAAAAAACGAGGGTTGTTGGTCGAGCTCGATGATAGTTTGTTTCTCGGTCTTGTATTTTTCCACCAACAAATTACTCACTTTAGCCTCCTAATTGTTGCTTTGCCGTTGATTTTCAGGAATTAGTTAGCTCAAACAGTGATTAAGGAAAAACCCAATGATGGGTCCAAAAAAATATATCCTCACCATTATCCCTTATTCCCCTGTGAATAACATGTCTACTATTCAAAATCCTTTTCTAGGCCAAAGAGTGATTTTACTTGACTTTGCAGCTCCAAAAATCATCATTATTTAAGTACCTTCTTTTAACAATCTTCACCCACCATTTGTTTTCCTCCTTTAAAACTTTCCATCCTAATTTAGCCAGATGGGCATTATTGAAATGATTCACTCTTCTCACACCCAGCCAGCGCCCCCCCGGCGATTCTTAGAAGTACACACTTTTTTCCATGCCATAGGTCTTAACTTCTTATCTCTCCCCCAAAAGAAATCCCTACACTCATTAATTAAGTTCCTTGTTACTCAAGTTGGGCATTTAAAGCAAGACATGATATGGTTCGGCATACCTGTTAAGTTAGACTTAATGAGGGTTAGTCTTCCGGCCTTAGAAAGAGTATTAGCCTTCCACCCCGCAAGCTTTTGCTTTATCTTTTGATTAATTCACATTCATTCACTAGATCTTTCCAAAACACAATATTATGAATATCCAGATATTTACCGATGGTTGTTTTATGTTGAATATGTAAAACATTCACAATAACATTTCTAGTTTGAGCATTAGTATTTTTTGAAAAATAAAGAGAGGATTTGTGGAAATTTACTTGTTAACCTGAAGCTTTGGCAAACATATTAAGAACTTGTAGAACATTCCTAGTACCTTTTGTAGCTGCCCTAGTAAATAACAAACAATCGTCTGCAAACACTAGATTTGATATTCTAAATCCACCGCGAGATTACAGAATACCAACATGTGATTTAGGGTTAGTGGCCATTTCATTAAAGTGTCTAACCAACAGTTCCATGCAAAGAATGAAAAATAAGGTGATAAAGGATCCCCTTGCCTAATTCTCTTCTTAGAGCCATTTATCAAAATTGAGAAGGAAGTTGAAGTATTGCAGTCCATTATTAAGTTCACCTATCTTTCTGCAAAACCAAATCTAAGAAGCGCATACCTGATATACTCTGAATTAAGATAATCATATGTTGTTTCTAAATCCAGCTTGATTCCCATTGCCCCAGTTCTACCTTTCTTACCTTTGAAACTGGAAAACATTTCATAAGCAATCAAAATATTATCATGAATAGAACGTCTTGGAGCAAAGGCACCTTGATTTCCAGATATGCAGTGGTCGCGAAGGGGCTTTAACCTTTTAATGATGATTTTCGTGATTATTTTATAGTGCACATTGCAAAGACTAATTGGTCTATAATTACTAACTACCTCAAGATTTTCCACTTTTGGGATGAGGGCAATGTTGGTATGATTAATAAGCCTCAAGCTAATACTATTTTCAAAAAAAAGTCCTTAACCATTGCACTCACCAAATCTTTGATTATATCCCAACATTCATGATAAAAACTTGCACCAATTTCATCCGGACATGGTGCTTTCAATTCATCAATGTTTTTAACTACATCCCATATTTCAATATCCTCACCAGACTTGAGTAAAAGTTCATTATGATGATTGTAAATATAAAGATTAATAATATCTACAATAGAAGATATGTCTGCGAGAGCTGGGGTACTATCACAAGAAAGTTGCAGTTTAAAATCCTGCACAAAAACTTGTTCCAGGCCCTCACCCTTATTCCACCAAACCCACAACTATCCTTAATCTTTTTAATTTCATTTCTCTTTTTTTGAATAGTTGCCACCGTTTGGAAATACCTTGCGTTCTTAACACCTAATTGCAACCAATTTACTTTAGCTTTCTGCCCACATGATTTTTTCTTGTCGAGAAATTGAATTAAGTTCCTTACTAAGCTTTATTTCTAAATCTATCTCTGAATCAACATTTGATTCTTCATGATGGTTTTTTGTAGGTCCCAAGAATTTTTTTTCCTTACACTCTTTTAAATTACCAAAATTTGTTTTATTCCAACCTTTAACCAGGTACTTGAAAGTCCCAGCACAAGCCCTAAAAGTGTCAATAGGACCAAACACTCCTTTGCATCGCAAGGTATTCTCAACAAGATCCTTAATATCAAGATGAAGAAGCCACATAGCTTCAAATCTAAAGGGATAATTATTCTCATAAAAAAATTTTAAGTTGTAAGTTAAGAGAATAGGTCCATGGTCCGACCCATAAATTGGATAGTTATGCAGGTTATAATCCGGATTCTCATTTAACCAATACGAATTAGCTATAACCTTGTCAAGTCTCTCATATATTCTTTTGTTATCAGCTTGGTTGTTGTACCAAGTAAAAGGGACACCAGAAGCATTTAGAGATAAAAGGTTTCCTCTATTTAAGAAACTAATGAACCTGGTCATATACAACATCGTAGATTGGCAGCCACCTTACTTCTCAGTTATGTCCACTATATTATTGAAATCACCCATTAAGCACCACGATTTATCTTTTGGATCTAGTTTAAGGATATCCTCCCACAATTCCAACTATAACCGTTTATTAAGAAATGCATACACGAAGTAAAAAATTGATCTTGATTAGAATAAGGATCGTTCGCTAAACAATACAAATGATGAGCAGTCGAGGTGATAACATTAACTTCAACCTTGGATGAGTTCCAGATTAAACATAGACCACCAGCCCTACCAGCAGGGCTACAACTAACCATCTCATCAAAAAAAACCCTCCATAAAAGTTTCCCTAGACCTTCTCCACATCTATTTTAGTTTCCAATAAACAAAAATGATCCACCTTAAAACTAGCACACAAGAAATTAAAATTACTCTCTTAAAATCAGGTCTTCCAAGACCCATGCAATTCCACGTCATGCACTTCATTAATCTATTTCTTTAATCAGACTGTTGTAGCTCGGTCTTGCTTCTGCAATCTCCTCACGGACTCTATTACTTGGACTTAACACTTCGTTACTTAGCCTAAGGGAAGACATCACAGCTCCAGCTGCCTTGATGGATGCCACACCATCCCCCACAAGCGTATTTCCCTTCCCCACATTCCTACTTCCTACCTGAATCCCTCTATCCTGGCGATTAAGCATACAATTACCAGCAATCATATTTAGACAAGCCAAGTTCCAGCTCACATAATTCTCACAAGAGGAAAACGTTAACACCTTACCAGTGAAATCAATCCATGGTTGATTATTTATCAGCATATTATCCCAATAAAAGCAAACAAGCACCTATACTTTCTTATCAAACCAGAAACTATAAAACCTAGTACTCATCTCTTGCATACAGTCAACAACCTTGTCAGTCTTTCTCTAGCCCTGCACCTGACAGGCTGAGGTGAGGATTTCATGAAAACCAACTTCGTCACCACTCCCAAAGATCTTCACTCCTTGAGCGCCCTGTATCTTTACTTGTTCACCACATAGCCCGCATAGCACATGAACTCTCACATAAGCTTCTATGAACTCTCACATAGGGCTTCTATCTCATGTTCCCCAAATTTGTTGAACATCAAATAAGCTATAAACCCCATATATTTGCGAGGGATTGAGCATTTAAGCTCTAGAAACCTGAAACCATGGCTTTGTGAGGCACCATTCAATTGAATCACAGCCAACCCGAATTGGATTTGAAACAGATGCAAATGCCTCATTTCAATTGCAGACGTCCCACAATAACCAAAACAACCTACCACATATTTTAATTTTCTCCCGTTATCCCTACCTCGAGACCCATCATAATATCCAATTCCCGCAAATACATCACCAATTGACCATAGCACCCTCTTAATTTCAACCAACAGAGCCACATGGGGGTCAAGAATCATCCTACCTTCCTCGGCACCCAAATCGTTGCATGCCCACAAACCCAGTTTTAAATTGGAAGTAAGAAACACATGGGAGCTCTGATTATTTGCCACTGGGCTCCACTCCCCAAGACCCACCATTGATAATTAACTAGAGGAGAAATAGTACAGACAACCCAATTACACAAGAAGCTGCAATTTAGATTGTAAATTGCATGAATACATTCGGCCCACCCACACTTATCATTGAATAATGCATTTACGTTAAAGCCATTAGCTAAATCACAAAACCCAACTAAATACCAGCAATTATCTCTTCTCCAGTTAACTTTGAACCCATTAATTAGCTTATCTACTTTAACTAAAATGCAAATTAGAGCAAGAAACAGGGGCCAAAGCCGAATTCATACTAGGATACCCGCCCTCATGCGCTATCGGAGCACCACCGGTCTTCAGAGAACCCCTAGCATTTTTTTATTTATTTTAACTTTCAAATTTAATTTCCTTTGCATCACCCTTTCAATTACCATATTATTGCTAGTCTATTACGAGGTTAAGTCCACCCATTTTCTCTTAGTATAAATAATTTCGTTTGTTCAAAAAAAAAATTCACATTGGTAACGTGGCTACAATATTGCATGTCTTCCAAGTGTCTGGTTTACATAAGGCTGGTAAAATGGTCATTTCGTAATAGATCTGAAAACAAAATTTAAGTGAACAACTCAATGTTCAGGCTTCATCTCCTCTTATATATAACAAGCCTCTTCATATATTGAACGCCAATACAAAATTCTCTATTTCAATAGCAATGAAGATATACAATACTGAATCATGCCTTCAGGTACATCTACTATGTCATGCAAAAAGAAAACAGCATTTGTGCAATTTACATAACATAATAGATGTAACTGGGAGGCAGGGTATAGTAGATGTAACCTACCAAAAAATCCTCCATAAAAGAGTTGAGCGTTGCCCTAAAATGAAAGATGCCCTACAACAGCTCAACAAATTGTCTTCATGGGCACTGGGCAGTGCAGTTGGTAGCTTCATGCCGTTGCATGTGTTGCAAGAGGCATCTGTCGCTAGACTCACCCGGTTTATGTCGACATGCTCACCTGGAAGTTGTTAGCATTTGTCGACAGTCGTGCAATATGGGTGGATAAATAACTCAAGCCTACAAGTGCTCAATAAAATGCTTGACTGAAAAATTTTGCATGCTAATATGTTAAAAAATACCTTGCACATTGCGCACGCTATATTTACCAACTCACTAATATTTTTTTCTAGATCCACCCTTGGTTGTAATATTAATATCAATTAGGCGCTACAAATTTTTGCATAGTATTTATGCATCCATGAAAGGATAAGTGATCATATATTTGTTTCATTTTCTGTTTGGAAACATATGATATGCTTGTAAAATGCCCCCGTTTTGTTGGAAGGAATAAATATTTGCATATAAAATAGAAATTAACATATTAGGAAATCGATTTTTATATTACAAATTAAAACCAATTCATGACATTCATTTATAGTTTTATAATTAGACTTACATGTAGTGACATTATGTTCATCATTTGGGCAAGATATGTTATGACTTCTTTTTATTTCTGCTTTTTTATTCTATTAGCAACAATGGAGTTCTGTTTTTTGGACAAAGGAAGATTGGGATTTTTTTTTTAATACAATGATATTTTTACACTAAGGATGATTTATGGGCTTGGCTTGTTAGGACCAAATTTATTCCAAAACATTTTTCAGTAACGAATCTTAGACTAAAGGAGATGTTAAATACGCCAAATAGAACTAAAAAGATATCAAGGTTTTCTCCAAAAGAGGTGTCATAATTGACATGGCAGCTAAGTCATTTGACTCTTTGCTTTTTGGCTATCATTTTTTAGAGCAAACAAAGATATAATCAAATTCCTTTTATTTATGTTTTTAATGCATGGGTTCCATTGACAACCAATATGATGAAAAAGCCAATCTCTATAACCCTCGAAATGAGGTTATGATCCGCACTCTCTAAACTATGATTATCCTGGAAGAGATAGTATAATGCCCCTGAAGAGGCAATAGATGTCCAAAGAGATGAAAATCTTTTAAAAACTATGCATGCGCATGCACATGAGAATTATGGGACCACCGATTGATATAACCAATGTTAATTTTGGTTTTACTGTAACTACTAGATTCATCAATGAGCTGTGTTGAGATTGAGCCATGTTCTTTTGTTCCTTGATGAAAAGAAAAATTATTGGCCATAATGGAGAGGCAATTCCATTACAACTAGTAAAGAACATGGAAAAATGAACCTATATAGTAAAAATAGCCGAATGATGTTAAGCCCAGAAGGTTATATATAGGCATTTGTAATACAATGAAACTCACATGATATGACACAAGGTTTCTAGCTGAAACCTAAAATCGTGATATACTCCTGTTTACATGATTTCCCATTATGAAACTTGTGACAATCCGTCCCTAATTTTACAATTTTATAAATTTTAAAAGTATGAATTTATGAAAATACCCTTAGAGTCGAGGATTTTGACTTTCATTGACCATCATTTCAAGAGACGCATGACTTATTCTTTTAGCGTAATTGTGTAGTACTTGACGATATGAACGTTTGGGCATAAACGGATTCGAAATTGGAGCTACGTTGGAAATTTTACGGACTTACGAAATTCAAGGCATTTTGGTAAATTCAGTATTTTAGATAAATTTCCTTCTTTTTTTTTATATTTTCTAGGAGGATTTTTCTACATGGTGGGACCTACCCACGTGGGTCTCCTATCCCTTGTGTTCCCATGTCACTCATCCTTATACTCTCTCAGTTCCCTCATCCCTCACCTCTCTCATATCTCCCTCAACTCTCTCGCCCATGCGCCCACTCCGCAAGTGCAGAGAAACCTGCAACTCGACCATCATTCGCTGTCTCTGGTGAGCATCACCACCCAAACCTCCACCTTATACCGCTCCCTTCTCTCACGAACCCTCACATCTTTAATGTTATTTCCTCCATGCAAGCACCGAGAGGGTGCAATGACCTCGCCATTTTCTCCGGAGGGTATACTTAGAACCCAACGAAACCAAGGTAAGCCTTGAGAGCCTGCAATCCTTCTTATTTTAAAGCTCTTATGTTGTTTTAACTTTAAAAATGAGTTTAGGGGACGATTTGATGTAGAAACACATGAGGGGAACTTCCCATATTTTCCGGCAGATTTCGAGCCGTTTTCCGACCAACTCCGACCACGGTCGAGGAAACCAAATGTGTATTTCGATTCCTTGTCCTCTGAGCTTTGATTTGATATATTGGAAGGCTAGGTTTAGTGAAGTTTTGGTGTGGTCGGATCTGGGTAGAATCTGGCGGTTGTAGTGGCAACCGGCCGAAGGAGAATAAGAAAAGGAAGAAAAAAAAAGGGGGGGCCTTAGGCCCAAAACTGAGTCCAAATCTTTAGCCCAACCAGCCCTAAGCTTTGGGCTGATGTTTCAGCCCAACCCAGTTCCAAAATGGGCTCAGAATATCCTGGGAATATTCCTTGGAATATTCCACATGTTGACTTTTTCGGAATTTTCTCGGAAACCCTCCTAGGCTAAATTCAATGCCCCGAGTCCATTTTTGACATCCATTTAGTGAAATTCCAAAGTTTTAGTGTAGTTAACCACCGAGGCGACTTGGTTGACTTTTCAGGGTTGACCGTTAACGTTCTCATTGACGTTTTACAAAATTTACCAAGGACCCTCCTTAGCGTATTTCGATGCCTTGATTCCAAATTCGCACTCCATTTTTCCAAATTTAATTGTTTTAGTGGAGTTGTACTAATGGGTCCTAATATTATGTTTAGGTGCGATTACTATTGGAGACTTTAGCTTTTCACGCTCGAACGGCTGTGACCTCGCAAGTAATTGTGATTGGGTCTTTTGTTTTATGTAGCATATATATATATATATTCGTTAGTTTCCATTTATACATTTCATAAAGAATTTTCAACAATACGCCTAGAATAGTGTGACGCTTATAAGATTGAGCACATTGATAGAAATTATGAAGTTATGCTACGTCCTACGAGATGCACAAGTATGAGTATTATTATTGATGCCATAATTATATTTACTGCTATGAATGATATTATGTGGATTAGAACTATCGAATCACTATGGCATGACTATATTTGTGTTATCTGCTCATTGTTTGTTGCACCAGTGTTAGTACTTGCCCGAGCCAGGGCCAATCTTTCACGTGTATGTGCACATCACACCGTACGCTCACTTTGGATCCATTGTAAGTGCCAATCATGTCCTAAATTGCTATAGGCAATTAGGACTCATAGGTGATGTGCAAAGCACCAGTCTTCACGTGATTGTAGTACTGTAACGTATATTAATGTTACACCCAGTCCTGTTCATGTCAGAATATCTTTACATGAACTCATGTGTCAGCATATGTCGATGAGCACTCGATATGGTATGTTTACTTATGCGAGATTATGTGATTATGGATGTCATGCGCTTATTTACAAGATATTATGCCATAATGAATTCTTGAGATTTTGCAGTCTACAATAAATATTTTCTTACTATACGTAGTATGTACATTTTGGAAACTATAATTGTTTTAAGGCGAGGGGTTGTTATGTTTTTGGA